GATTGGGTATTTATTAGTCCTTTTCTTAGAACTGATGATGGCGTCAGCTAGGTGGGATGATCAGTATATGGACTTGAATCACCCTGTCATTGTTAAATTCCCTGTAAAGGCTCAGTGGTAAAGAACCTGCCTGCCAATGCAGGAGACCTGTGTTCGATCCCTGAGTCAGGAAGATCCCCTGGAGAAGGAAATAGCAACCCACTCCAGTATTCTTGCCTGGGAAATCCCATGGACAGAGGAGCCTGGCAGGCTACAGTCCATAGGGTCACAAAAGAGTCGGACATGACTTCGCGACTAAACAACAAGAAGCACTTGTACTCATTGTAGATGAGGTATTTTCCAGCTGGTGGGAGAGTGAGAAGAGTTGGTGCTTCCTACCCATTCAAGCTTCTCTCCCCAAGGAAATCTGGGGAAGCTAGACAGCCATAAGTGTCAGTTAGTTTTTACTTATCATCTACACAGCCTTCGCTTCTACAAGGAACCTTGCATTACCTGAGACTCGTTATGAAGAGAGGGCTTAACCCACATTGCCCCAGGCATCATCAGCCTTGACTACAATGGGGGTCGTTAAGAGCAGTATTAATTAATGATTTAATTAATTAAGAACTGTCCTCAGTCCCCTACACAACCCTCCCCCCTTGGGGATTCTGGTCCCTTCCTTGTTAATGTCTGCCACCCACGGAGCCACTCTGGGGCTCACTGCTTCGGCCACTGCCAGGATAAGAAGGTTGAGGAAGCCTACATTGGCTTCTAGGCAGTTCCAGGGCAGCCCTCGTTCAGCAGAGCCACCCGGAGTCCTACGTGGAAGAGGTGTCTTTTTTCACCGGGTGCTGCTCTTCATCACTTTAGGATAAAGGCAGGGCAGTTGGGGAGCTCATGTCCCCCAGTATCCCTTATGAGAACAGTTCCTGCAGTTCTGCCCGCAGACACAGTCTCCAGAGGGTTTAACTGGGCCAGGGAACAGATTCCGTGACAGCTTACTTACCCCTGCGTCTCCCTGCCGGTGCCCAAACCAGAAAGGGCCATTCTGTGCAAGACACTGGTCAGAGAGTGAAAAGGCAAGCCTCAGACTGGAAGAAATATTTACAAAACACACGTCTGATGCAGGACTTGTACCCAAAATATGCAAAGAATTCTTTTAAAACAGCTTTATTGAGTTACAATTCACATACCATACAATTCATTCATTTTTAGGATACAGCTCAGTGGTTTTTGGACATAATCTGGTTTTAACTTTTTAAGTTGTGGTCGAGTATATAGATATAAAACAAAATTTGGCTAAACCATTTTTAAGTGTACAGTTAAGTGGCATTAAGTACATTCATAATGTTGTGCAACCATCATTACTATCCATTTCCAAAACTTTTTCATTGCCCTAAGTAGAAACTCTGTTACCATTAAGTAATAACTCACCCAAGGCTTCCCCACCACCCATCCTTTAGTAATCTCTAATCTACTTTCTGCCTTGATGAATTTGTCTATTCTAGATATTTCCTGTAAGTGGAATCATATAATATTTGTCCTCTTGTATCTGGCTTATTTCATTTAGCATAATGTTTTCAAGGTTCATCCATGAAGTAGCATGTATCAGAACTTCATTCCTTGTTATGTTTGAATAATTTTTATTGTATGTATACACATTTTGTTTATCCATTCATGTGTTGATTCCACCTTTGGCTGTGGTGAATAATACTGCAGTGAACATCTGTTTTAGTTTCTGGAATGGAATTGTTGGGGTCATATGGTAATTCTATTCAGCTTTTTGAAGAAATTGGAAACCATTTTCCCACAGAGGCTGCAACACTTTACATTCCTACCAGCAAAGTACAGGAGTTTCAGTTTCTCCACATCTTCACCAACACTTATTATTTACTTTTTTTTTTAATTACAGCCATCCTAGTGGGTGTGAAATGGTTATCTCAGTGTAGTTTTGATTTGATTTTCCCTGATGGCTAATGGGCTTCCCTAGTAGCTTAGACAGTAAAGCATCCGCCTGCAATGCAGGAGACCTGGGTTTGATCCCTGGGTTGGGAGGATCCCCTGGAGGAGGGCAGGGCAAGCCATTCCAGTATCCTTGCCTGGAAAATCCCATGGACAGAAGCCTTGCAGGCTGCAGTCCATGGGGTTGCAAAGAGTTGGACACGACTGAGTGACCAACATACACACAATGACTAATGATAGGCTCCCCAAGTGGCTCAGTGGTAAAGAATCCACCTGCCAATGCAGGAAACATGGGTTCCATCCCCGGGTGGGGAAGATCCCCTAGAGAAGGAAATGGCAACCCACTGTAGCATTCTTGCCTGGGAAATCCCATGGACAGAGGAACCTGGCAGGCTGCAGTTTGTGGGGTTACAAAAGAGACAGACAAGATTTAGCAACTAAACAACCATGACTAATGATGCTGTATGTTTTTTCATGTGCTATTGGCCATTTGTATATCTTCCTTGGAGAAATATCTAAGTCATTTGCCCATTGTTTACTTGGGTTGCTTTTCTTTTTGTTGTGTATTGTATAAATTATAGATTCTGAATATTAAGCCATTATTAGACCTGTGGTTTCCAAATATTTTCTCTCATTTTGTAGGCTGTATTTTCCCTTCCTTGGCAGTGTTCCTTTATGCACAAAAGTTTTTAGATGGAGTCAGTTTATCTAATTTTTTCTTTATTGCCATTTTGGTGCATATCTAAGAATCCATAGTCAAACCCAAGGTCATTAAGATTTACCCCTGTGTTTTCTGTAAGAGTTTTATGATTTTAGTTCTTATATTTAGGCTGTTGATCCATTTGAATTAATTTTTGTTTTGGTGTGAAGTAGGAATCCACTTGAATTCTTCTGCATGTGGCAATCCGGTTGTCCCAGCACCCATTCTTGAAGACACTATTCTCTCTCCATTGAATGGAATTGGCATCCTTGTCAAAAACCAATTTTCATAGATGTATGAATTTATTTCTGAATTTTTGATTCTTTTCTATTGATCTGTATGTACTTATGCCAGTACCACACTGTTTTAATTACTGTAGTTTTATATTAAGTTTTGAAATATTCTTTTTAAAAATGGTTTTGGTTGTTCAGGGTGCCTTGCTATTCAGTATGAATTTGAAAATTGACTTTCCTATTTCTGCAAAAGAGGCCATTCAAATTTTGATAGGGATTGCATTAAAACTGCAGATCTAAGAACTATTAAAACTAAACAATAAGAAAAAAAGAGTAAAAAAGGCAAGAATTTTTTAACAATACTGCTCTAAGAAAATGTACAGGTTAAAAATAAACATATTAAAAAAATGTTCAACATCCTATGTCAATAGGGAGTTACAAATTCAAGCAATGATAACACACCACTACATATGGTGGGCTATATCCCATGGGGTCTCAAAGAGTCGGACACAACTGAGCGACTCACACACACACACACATATCTATTACAAAGACTAGAATTTTTAAAACTGACAATACCAATTGCTGGAGAGGAGGTGGAACAACAGAAACTCATCAGTTGCTGGTGGGAGTGCAAAGTTCTACAGCCTCTTTAGAAAACAGTTTGGCAGTTTCTTAAAAAGCTAAATATAATCTTACCATGCATGCTCAGTCACTTCAGTCGTGTCTGACTCTTTGCGACCCCGTGGACTCTAGCCCACCAGGCTCCTCTGTCCGTGGGATTCTCCAGGCAAGAATACTGGAGTGGATTGCCATGCCCTCCTCCCGGGGAATCTTCCCAACCCAGGGATTGAACTCCTGTCTCTTTTGTCTCCTGCATTGGCAGGTGGGTTCTTTACCACCAGCGCCACCTGGGAAGCCCAGCAAGGGATACAGAGCCAACTAAAACAGTTTTCGATGGCCAAAACTGGAACAGTTTGAGCAAAAAAAATTAGACAGTATTGGATCATAACCCAGAGCATAAAACAAATAGCCATGAGTTCATTCTAATATAAATAAATTACTGAATAAATAAATAAGTGAGGGAGTAGAGACAAATCTCCTATGTCGAAGAAGTCCAAGAAAGGCGTAACTTCACCATGGAGAGACTGGCAAGCACTTCTCCAGCTAGGTGATCTTGGTCAACAGGAACAATGATAAGTTGTGTTGCTCATATGTGCCTTGATCTAATGTGATAAAAATGGCACTTTACCTCTGTGGGCTTCCTCCTCAAAACCCATTAGCCCACTTCGGTCATGAGAGAAACATGACACTAATTCCAGTGGAGGGAGAGCATACAAAATACCTGAGCAGTCTCCCTTAAAACACTCCAAGGTCATCAAAACCAAGGAGGCTCTGAGAGATTGTCAGAGCCAGGAGGAGCCCCAGGAGACCTGATGACTACATGTGGGATCCTGGATGGGATCCTAAAAGAACAACGAAAAAGAAACAGGTGAAAAAAAAACAACTAGGAAATCTGAATAAACCAGGGGCTTTATTTAATAATAATGTGTCACTGTTGATTCATTAATTCTAACAAATGTACCGAAGGGATGGAAGATATTACTAATAGGGCAAACTGCATGAGGAGATATAAGGGAACTTGGTACTATCTTGTCAATTTTTCTATAAATCTAAAACTGTTCTAGGGACTTCCCTGTTGATCCACTGGCAAAGACTGTGCTCCCAATGCAGGGGCCCTGGGTTTGATCCCTGGTCGGGAAACTGAATCCCACATGCTACAACTAAGATCCAGAGCAGCCAAATGAATAACAGAAAATAAATAAATGTTAAAAAAAGAAAACTGTTCTAAAAATAGAATACATTTTTAAAAGCAAGTATAAACCAAAAAACTCTAGTAATATACATGTTTTCCATGTTTTTGTAAGAGGAAGCTAGACTCCAGAATCGCCAAGATGACTGATGCAGGATGGCCCGGCTACTCAAAAGGCAGCGGTGGGCTCTGAGCCCGGGGCCGTCGCTGCTGAGTCTCAGTGCTGTTGGCGGGTCTGGGGATGGAACCTCCACTGCTCTGGGTTTCCTGCACACCCACTTATGTGTGTGTGTGTCTTTCCTGCTCTCCCCAGGGCATGGCCTTTACGCTTGAGGAGAGGCTGCAGCTTGGGATCCACGGCCTCATCCCGCCCTGCTTCCTGAGCCAGGACGTCCAGCTCCTCCGGGTCATGAGATACTACGAGCGGCAGCAGAGTGACCTGGACAAGTGAGTGCTGGACGTCTGTCCTCTCACCCGGGCGCCAGGCTCCGCTGTCTCCTGCGGGCCTCAGACGGTGTTCTGGACACTAGCTGGGAAAGGCCGAGAGCCCCGAGAGAGCCCAGAGCCAGCCTTGCCTTCTGCAGGGTGATGGCCTCCCTGAGGGCCAGGGCTTGTTATGATCGAGCCATGGTCCGTGTGTCCCGGGAGGACTGAGAAGTTTGCCTGAACTCCGACAGTGGGATCTGGTTGGGCCTTCTGGAAGTGATGAAATCAGAGTCAGCCCAGGAAGCACCAGTAGTACCAATGGAAGTACAAATGGACGTCAGCATTCAGCATCAGGGTTCACGGAAGGATTTCACTCAGTGGGAAGGAGGGGAGCAGAAATGTAGGAGTATACGCAAAGAATCTGATACAGCTGAGCATGCACGCACGTAGAGAAGACAATTGTGGACACAGCAGCGGAAGGGGAGGGTGGGACAAACAGAAACTTAGAATGGATAGCTAGTGGGAAGTTGCTGGAACACAGGGAGCTCAACCCAGTGCCCTGTGACAACCTAGAGGCGTGGGATGGGGGTGGGGCGGGAGGGAGGTGAAGAAGACATATGTGTACTTATGGCTGATTCACGCCGTATGGCAGAAACCAACACAACATTGTAAAGCAATTATCCTCCAATTAAAAAAAATTTTTTAATCTATAGTTAAAAGAAAAAAACATAGGGACAGATGGGTTAAGGTAGTGGCACATGGCCCAGGTTCCTGGAATAAAAGGACTGCTGTGGAACAGAGGGGAAATGGACAGGGTCACAAGGAGGACCTGGGATGCCATCCTTTGGAGGTTTAGGGAGAACCCCGCCTCCCCTCTGGTTTTTCCCGGTGGGGATGTCGACAGGAAGAGTCAGTGGGTGTTCACAGGGTCAGCTTTATCTGTCTTACTAAAGAAGGTAGTGACCTTGCAGGTCTCATGGCTATGAATTGGCACAGCCAGGGTTTGCACACAGACAATTACCTCCAAAGTCTGTGCTTTGAACCTCTCTGCTCCCCCATAGCTAAGAGGCAGTGAAGCTTAGTGGCTGCAAAACTAGCCTGAGTTCAGATCCTCATTCTATTATCACTTAAGAGCAAAAGTTCCTTAGTCCGAAATGAAATTCGCCTACCTAAAGATATTAAACCCTAAAAATCAAAGTCCAGAATCCTCCCCTTTCCAGTTCTTTCCAGCTAGATGGGCCTCACTCACATGGGAAGGTATGCCAGGCTCAAGGGGCAATGGATGTGCCTGATCCTGTGAGCTCAAGGGAGCTTGCTCCTGATGACCTCTCTGACCCATTTATTATGGGAGCCCCTCATTTCAGCAGGAGCTTAGGGGGAAAGGCTAAGGAGGCTCCCCAGCTTATGGGTAAAGACAGTGGTGTGCTGGTAAGTGTTTAAGGACCGGTTCTGAGGCCAGGGGGTGAGGATTTAAAGCATTTGCCAATTTCCATGGTATAGATACTCCCACCATGGTCAATTTCAGCTTATCAACTTGACATCACTGAATGTGGAGTTGAGAAGAGATGTGTACTAGTGGCCACTGAGTAAGGGAATCGTTACACTTGGAATGAGCTAAGATCCTGACTCTTCTAAGCATAAATCCCCTTTCCTAAGTAAAAGTGGCTTCTAGAGCGTAGTAACAGACCAGTGCCTTTGCTGAGGAAGAAGAGGCTGAAGCCCCAAGAAGTCACAGGACTTCCTAAAGGTCACGCAGCTCGCCAACAGCAGAGCTGGGATTCACACCCAGGAACCTGACGCCTCGCCCAGGGATCAGTCCCCTGTCAGATCATTTCTGTCACGCCACTCCAAGCCAGGGCCTCTTGCACCCTCATTCTCTCTCCCAAACTTAAAGGTTGTGATATCAGCTGCCACTTACACCTCACTGGACTACCCCGGTGGCTCAGCTGTAAAGAAATCACCCGCAACGCAGGAGCTGCAGGAGATGCGCGTTCAGTCCCTGGGTCGGGAAGGTTCCCTGGAGGAGGGCTTTGCAACCCACTCCAGTGTTCTTGACTGGAGAATCCCATGGACAGAGGAGCCTGGTGGGCTACAGTTCATGGGGTCGTAAAGACTCAGACACGACTGAGCAACTAACACTTTCCCTTTCACACTTTACTGGGAGTTTCAGTCCCTCGGTTATTTTTCTCCCAGCCTGTTCAGTGTGAAATGTAAATGAAAGGCCCTTTTCCTGGCTTACTGATTTCAGGCTTCAGGAAGTAGGCATGTTTGCAACATGCTTCCTGAGATCACTTGGTGCTCAAACACTTGTGAACTCTGCTTGTGACAGGAACCAGGCCTGTGTGACAGGAAGGACCAGTTCATATATCACCAGTCTGCCTAGCACTTTCCCTGACCTTCCCCCAACCCCAGAATGCTGTTATTCTGCTGTTGTTCATTACTGTCCACATAATTATAACTTAACTAGCCATCTTGCATCATGGCTGAGAGCACAGATTCTGGAGTCAGATTGCTTAGGTTCAGATCTCTTGGTGAATTATTTCACTTCTCTGTGCCTCGATTGTCTCTAAAATGGCCAGATAGCAATTATATCCCAATAAAAAAATAAAATGACCAGAATTCTATTACCCACCTTACAAGTCACTGGGGCTTCCCTGGTGGCCCAGATGGTTAAGAATCTCTATGCAATACAGGAAACGTGGGTTCGATCCCTGGGTCCAGAAGATAACACTGGAGAAGGGAATGGCAACCCACTCCAGAATTTTTATCTGGAAAATCCCATAAACAGAAGAGCCTAGCAGGCTGCAGTCCATGGGGTCGCAAAGAGTCAGACATAACTGAGCGACTAAGCACACATCCAAGTCATTGGGAGGCATGTTCCCCGTGTCAGATTAGTTAATGAAACTGTTGAGAATGGCACCTACAGCATGTGTGATAATAAGGGCCATTGTTGTTGTTGTTGTTAGTCACTCAGTCGTGTCCAACTCTTGGTGACCCCATGGACGTCATAAGGCAGGTCATATTCTCCACATTTCATAGGTGATGAAACTCATGCTTAGAGATGGTGATTTGCCCGTGAAGGTGCCGTTGCAAGTAGCTGAGTGGGACCCCTGGGTTTCTACATCGAGGGCCATCTGTGCTGCCGTGTGGGGTGTTCATGTCATCAGCTTGGTTCTTGCCTCTTCTCCTAAGGTACATCATCCTCATGACCCTCCAGGACCGGAACGAGAAGCTCTTCTACCGCGTGCTGACCTCAGACGTGGAGAAGTTCCTGCCCATCGTGTACACGCCCACCGTGGGACTGGCCTGCCAGCACTACGGCCTGACCTTCCGCAGACCCCGGTGAGCGGCCTGGGGCCAGGGCTCTGGGAGGGGCCATCTCCTGGCGGGGAATCTGTCTTCCCTCTGGCCTTGCTTGCTGGGACCCTAGAGGTGCTTCCTGGGAGGAAGCAGCCCAGCAAGACGTTTGTTTTGAGCTTTTGCTCTGGGAAATGAGCCCATGTGCAGAGAGATGAGCTGAGACAGTGTCTAGCAAGGGGACCTCGGAGCCTCTCCACCTCCAAATAAGAAACACCCAACATGTTGTTCAGAGTTGGTCTGGGAGGTATTTCAGCTTGTTTTTCTCTCCTTTACCCACCACTGCCTCCCTCCCCCCTCCAAACCCCACTTTCCCAGTCATCTCCACAGTGCAGACAGCTCTCCTGCTAATTCGGGTCAATGAATAATGGAGTGCAGGATACCAGAGACTGAATTCTTTTGCTGATTCAAAGAAGCAGCATTCCTTTATTTGGGTTCGACTCAGATTCCACTCAAAATGTCACTTTATTCGGCAAAAATCTGGCACGGCATTTTCTTTCAGAGCCAAAGAATTTGGGGGCAGTTTTCTAAAGAGATCACCTGTTTGTTTTTTTCATGGTTAGTTCAGCATATATATACTTAAAAAATGAAAAAGGGAAAATGGAAGGATTTTCACAAAGTGCTCAGTGCAAGGTAATTGTCAACACATAGTTCTAGCACTGATGATTAAAGAGCTCCTGGGTTTATTATATGTTGTGGGACATTGTTTCAGCCTGTGTTAGAATACTATGCACAGATGTGTAATTTACATTTATGTAGAATTTATAAATCTGTGTTATAAATCATGCACTGTGTGAGGAACATGTAATCATGGATCTGGACCATCTTTCGTTCATTTGGATAAGCAGTATTCCAGTTCTGAAGCCAGCATTTGGGATGAGCACTGCAGACCCCGGGGGAGTTCCCAGTGATACCCTTGGTAGAGGGCAGCGTGTCCCACTTCCTCTGGGTGGCGTGTCCACCTGCTGCAGCATATTTGACCTCATCACACAATGCAGCCATGTTTCTGCCACCCTGGGGGCAGGGGACAGTGCGTCGAGACTACAGAGTTGATCTGGTCTTCAGTCTGCCTCTTTCAATGGGAAAGAGTCATCCCTGAAACCAGTCCTGACTGAGACATTGGGAGCTGATGGTACATTTCTGAAGGATGCAGGACCCAGTTTAATACCTCCCAGTTCCTACTCAGAGATGGTCCTTGCAGATCCTCCCTCCTTAAATATCTGTGTGTGCTCAGATGTGTCTGACTCTTTGTGACCCCATGGTCTGTAACCCACCAGGCTCCTCTGTCCATGGGATTTCCCAGGCAAGAATACTGGAGTGGGTGGCCATTTCCTACCCCAGGGGATCTTCCTGACCCAGGGATCGAACTTGTGTCTCTTCCATCTCCTGCAGTAGCAGGCAGATTCTTCAACACTGCACCAGTGTCACTGCCCTCCTCTGAGGCTATCAGCAGCTGCCTGGGGCTTAAAAAACAAAGGCCAACATTTTGACAAAACTAAGCCAGGCACAGCCCAGCCCGTCCTCAGACATCCCTCCTTCTAGTCTCCTTCCCCAGGCATGTCTGGCATTTTCTGCAGGCCTTTGCCCATACCGTCCCCTCTGCCTCAGATTCCTGCATTCTCTCCTTTCCTTGTTCTCTACCCAGCAAAACTCAGGTTATCCCCTCTTCCAAGAGTCAGCTTCTCTGATCTGATCAGAGAAACCCTTCCTGATCTGCCCCAACCTGAACCAGTCGCTCCCTTCTCAGTCTCCCCCACAGCCCATTACATATATTTATTTCTATTCCATAGTTTTATTTTTGGTGCTTTATATTTTTAATTATTTGTATACCAGCCTCCTTTGTTGTATAGTAACTAAGTCATGTCCGACTCTTTTGAGACCCCATGGACTATAATAGCCCAGCAGGCTCCTCTGTCCATGGGATTCTCCAGGTAAGAATACTGCAGTGGGTTGCCATGTCCTTCTCCAGGGGATCTTCCCAACTCAGGGATCAAACTGCATCTCCTGCATTGGCAGGCAGGTTCTTTACCACTGAGTCACCTGAGAAAGCCACTAACTTCCTGTACTGGGACACAAGTTCCTAGAGGGAGCTGGAAACGCATCAGATCCATTTGGCCAGTAATTGGCACTCTGATGGGACAGTATGGCCTATTGAGTGAGAAAAAGAGCTAGGTCTTCGCAATCAGTTCTGTGGTTTAGTCTCCCTGACCTTAGGCAAGTTTCTTAACTTCTCTCAGCCTTAATGTCCACATTTATCAACCAAAGGTAATAAGGCTACCTACCTGAAATAATCATTGTGAAGGTAAAATTTGATAATGTGGCCAGGTACCTGGCATCGGTGTCAAGTTTCCTTCAGTAACTACCGTAGGAGGAAGGCAGGACTGATACATGCAGAGTTATGTTACACGTCTATATTTTTCAATGTTTGCAAAGAAAATTGAGTCATTGAACATATAATGAACTAATGTATAATTATAGACAAGATCTGGGTCTTCCAGATACACTGTTTCCTGAAAAGGTCCTTTAACCCTTAAGCGTTACAGCTGAGATAGTATAGAAACACATGGCCATCCCACTCCCCTCTCCCACTCCCAGGCTGTCTGGGAGCCCTTCTCCACAGGCTCAAATGGAATAGACTGTGAATTCAGCTGTTGGCTTCAGATTAACTAGTATCAGACTAGTGATGCTTTTGAGCTGTGCTGCTAGAGAAGACTCTTGAGAGTCCCTTGGGCTGCAAGGAGATCAAACCAGTCCATCCTAAAGGAAATCAACCCTGTATATTCATTGGAAGGACTGATGCTGAAGCTGAAGCTTCAATAGTTTGGGCACCTGATCTGAAGAGCCAACTCATTGGAAAAGACCCTGATGCTGGGAAAGATTGAAGGCAGGACAAGAAGAGGACGACAGAGGATGAGATGGTTGAATGGCATCACCAACTCAATAGACATGAGTTTGAGCAAGCTCCAGGAGGTGGTGAAGGACAGAGAAGCCTGGTGTGCAGCAGTCCATGGGGTTGCAAAGAGTCGGACTTGACTTAGCAACTGAGCAAAGAAGCAAACTAGTGATGGTAGTGGAGAAGGAAATGGCAACCCACTCCAGTATTCTTGCCTGGAGAATTCCATGGACAGAGGAGCCTGGCGGGCTACAGTCCCTGGAATTGCAAAGAGTCAGACACAACTGAGCGACTAACACACACACACAGTGAAAAGGTAGAGTTTTCCTCCAGGGTCCACTCCAGAATCCAGAAATTTGAATTAATGAGCATTTCTGGAGCTGCTGGACATCATGTTACACACTGTGAAGTTACCCCCAGAGAACAAAATACAATTCTTGACCTAAAGCTATGAGTTGAATATGATAAAAGTTAAACAGCAACAAAAGATTTAATAGGGACAAAGGATTACAGGAGCACAAGGGGAAGGAAAATTTGTTTTCCTTGAGGGCAGCAGGAATGCTTCACCAGAGGGATGACATTTGAGCTGGTCCTTGAAGACTTAATAGGAATTCCATGGGTGGAGAAGGAGGGAAGGGCATTCCAGGAAAGGGCTTGGTTTTATCAGCTCTGTAGAGAGCAGGGCAGTCAGCTCACTCTGGTATCTCCCCATCTCCTCTGCCTGGCACGGAGGGCCAGGGGAGGGATCCATTGGCTTATAATGGATCTTCCCCATGTGCTGGAAGGTTCATTTGGAAATGGTGTCATTCATTTCACAAATGAGCAAAGTGAGGTGGCGGAGGAAGGGAACTTGTCTGAGATCACAATTGGTAAACAATTTGTAAAGTGAGAGTTCTGACTGTGGGAACTGGGAAAAGCCACACCAAGGAGATGACAGTTGAGCTGGGCCTGAAAGATGAGTGCGAAGAACTGAGACAGAATGTCTTTGTCTACGGTGAGCCAAGCACGCCCACCTCCCCCTGGAAAGAATGCAAAGCCTCTGAGACCTCACGGTGGGTGAAGCAGGAGACTAGAGGGGCAGGGTAGAAGAATTGATCTGTGGTTCTACCTCAAACGTGGTCTCCTTCTCACCACGCAAGGGGGTTGGCGTAACAGGGAGCTGTTTCACACTCAGGTCCAGGCCTCACTGGTGGTTCTCCAGTGGGTTAGTGATGGAAAGGATTGTAACAGCAGAGTGGGGGGTTCATATGGGTGGAAACCACTTGAACCCAGGAGCCAGGTCAGCCTGTTGGGTATAGAGAGGGTGCTGCAGAAGGTGGACATATAGCCTGGAAAACAGATGTGTGACAGTCCAGGCAGGAGGCCGGCAGTTGAACTAGAACCAGGAGAAAAGTGTCATCACAGTAACTGCTGGCTAAAGGCTAGGCACTATCCTAAAATCTTTACATAGATTGTTGTTCAGTCGCTAAGTTGTGTCTGACTCTGTAACCCCATGGACTGCAGCACGCCTGGCTTTCCTGTACTTCACCATCTCCCAGAGTTTGCTCAAATTCGTGTCCATTGAACCAGTGATCTATCTAACCATCTCATCCTCTGCCACTGCCTTCTCCTTTTGCGTTCAATGTTTCCCAACATCATGGTATTTTCCAGTGAGTAGGCTGTTAGCATCAGGTGGCCAGAGTATTGGAGCTTCAGCTTCAGCATCAGTCCTTCCAATGAGTGTTCAGGGTTGATTTTCTTTAGGATTAACTGGTTTGATCTTCTTGCAGTCCATAGATTAACTCATCTAATTATCACAGTTCCCCTAAGAAATAGACACTGTTATCAGCCTATTTGTAATTGGGGAAACTGAGGCACAGAGAAAACTTGCCCAGAGTCACACAGTTCATAACCAGCAAAGCCAAGACTTGGACCCACACAGTCTGAAGCAGAGTGTGGACAGGTAAGCAGCACATCACAATGCTTGCTGAGGTTTGGGGCTGTGCACATTAGGTGGGTATTCAGGGGGGGTATCCTTGCCACTCCTGGAACGTGACTGTCTGGGGGTCTTAGATGGGGGTTGCTGTATTCGTTTCCAGAGCCTCTCCTGGGA